ACGAATAATGATCGTAAATAAACTATAGAAAAACTAAAATTTAAACTACTTGGTTATTTCTATTAAACATGCTTTGCATATATATATATATATATATATATATATATATATATATATATATATATATATATATATATATATATATATATATATATATGTTACTTAATTGTGTTTTTCTGTACCTATATCTATTGACTATTTTGTGATAAATTTTTGTAAAATTTTTTGTTAAAATTTAGTTCTTAAGTTAAGAAGTTAGAATTTAGTCTTTACCGTCAAATCTTTTCTGCTAAGTGTTAAGCAGGCTAACAAAGAGTCAACTCAGCACTCTCATATAGCATATCATGTCATTTAGTTTAATAATATTTTATTATTTAAAATTAATAATTATAAATAAACTTTTAGTTATTTTTTCTATATTTATATAAAGGTCCATCTTCTTCTCTTTTCCCTTTCACACCTCAGCTCCCCTTCCCTTTTCCTTTTTCCTTTTCCACTACTTCACCCCTCCTCTCCTTTCTCCCTTCTCACTACGCACCCCAACTCAAACTCCATACCCATTCATACCCTTCCCCAGCCCTCGTTTAAAATCTTATATGAATTGAAAATACAAAGAGATTTAGGAACAACAAACAATAGGCAAATATTGTGGGGTCATTACAAGTTAATAGAACTATTAGATTTAAAAATATAAAATAAAAAAAAATAAAGCCCACTTTATCACTTTCTTTTTTTTTTTTTACAATCATCTCACTATGTACCTCATACTTAAAAAGAAAAAAAAAATTAAAATCTACAAATGAAAAAGGGTGTGAGGGGTTTAGGAATGCGGTGGAGTAGAGTGTGGGGTTGGGATTGTGAGAGAATGTGGAGTTGATGGTTGGGGAATGAGTGGAGTTGAGGAAGGAGTTGGAGTGCAAGAAAGAAAAAAAATGGAATACAAAATGGGAGAGAGTGTGGGTTGAAGTTGCGGGAGAATGTTGAGTTGAAGATGGGGGAAGAGGTGAAGTTAAGGAAGGGAAAGGTTGGAGTGTGGAAAGGGAAAGGGATAGGGGTGTAGGGAGGAGGAAGAGAAGGGGTTGGGGGTGTGGGGTAGGAAGAGGGGTGAGGTTGGGATTTTAACTGTGGGGTGGGGGAAAGGGAGATGGTGGAGGCAAGGGTAAGGTGTAGGAAAAGGAAAGGAAAGAGTTATATTTGTCAATAAGGTTGAAGTTGTGAGTGTAAGGTAGGAGAAGGGGAAGAGGTGGAGGTAGGAGTGGGGTGTGGGGAGAAAGAAGAGCAGGGTGGGTACCGAATGGGGAGTAAAAAAGAGAAAATGAGAGAATACTTATTTATAAATTAAAAAATATAATCAGAGACTTATTTACAAATATTATGTTAAAATAATAAAATATTATTAAATTAAATAACGTGACATGCTATGTGAGAGTGCTCAACACTAATAAAAGGAAGGTTGACAGTAAGAATTAAATTTTAACTTCTTAACTTTTTAGAGACTATATTCTAAAAAAATAAATTATATAAGGACTTATCACAAAATGTCTAATATTTATATGGATAAAAACATAATTAAGTTTATATTTTTTTTCATGTTTACAAGTATGAAAGATCACAATTAACAACTATAATAAAGATAATGGTTAAATTGGTGAAATTAAAGAACAAATGGATACTTTATCTTACTATGTTAATAATATTTCTATTTTTAAATAAGTGAATTTTCCACTTTAAATTCATGTTTTTTAAAGTACAAATATTACATAATTTATTTTAATCATGGATAACAAGATAAATTTCAATCCAATTTTGATTTATATTCCTAAATATAGTTAACATTTACATAGATGTTTAGTATCCTTCCATTTGTCAAAAATAAATGTTTTTCTTCGTAACAATTAAACACTGTATGCCTATTGCAATGAGATCAAAATATGTTGTTTTATTTTGAAAAAAAAAAACTTCAATTTTTTTATTAACTACTAAGTATGTTTAATTTCTCTTTTCAAAAGAATTTTTTATTTTTTTTCTAAATGTAATATAAATTTATATTATATTTAAAAAAATAGATTTTTTTTTTAAAAAGAAATCAAATATACTCGATTCAAGTTTTTTTTTTTAACTCAAGCTAAAAATAATCATATGAGCTTTTGTGATTAAAAAAAAAAGTAAACTAATATTAAATCATTTTATTATTCTAGAGATTTTTAACTTTGCTTAGTAATAAAGACAATATTTTAATAATTGAATTGTTGTTACATTTCTTGTTGTATTTTAATTTTTTTTTCATAATAAAAATTCATTTTTTAACTATCAATCTCAATTTGATTCTTAGAATAATGATATATGCTACACCTTATACTACAAGTATTTACGAATCCAATTTTATCATTAGTGCTTTTAATCTTATTATTATTATTTATTGTAAGCTTTATTCCATTAGTTGTTTGACAAGCTACTTATTGCATAGTTTGTATTGTGAAGTTGATTAAAATAATTTATACCTTCATATGATAATAATGGAACTTGGTTTATTAGTTTTAAAAATCATGGTTTTTCTTCTTATTTTTAAGGTTTTCCATTTTAAGAAAATTTATATTTCTTATTGTTTGTTTTATGCATAAAGGTGTTTAGCTTATCATAATACATTTTTATAAGAGTGGCATTGAAGTCATTGTCATTAACTCCTTTAGAGTTGGCATCAAAGTTTTTTATGCTTGAAGTTTTATATTTATTTGATTTGCTTGAATAATAGAAACAAAATACAAATAAAAAATAAGGTTGTATGATATTAAATAAGAACCAAATAAATGATATCAAGTCACGTCAAATTACTTGAACCAAAATATTCTTCAATTTTATTAATCTAACTTACATGTAATTAATTCACTTAAACTTATGAGTTTTGTTATATCTTTTTACATACTTTTTAATAATATTTTTTGCTATATTAAAAAATAAATTTTTAATAAAAAATATTTAATAAATAATAATTAAAAAGATTTATAGGCAATAAAAGAAAAAATATATTCTTAATATATATTTTCAACTTTGAGTCAATTTATATAAGTTTTGCAACTCCATTCACATGTAATGGAAACAATTTTACTTCTCAGGTCGTGATACATGTAAGTAAAACTTTCATTATTCTACTTATGTAACATCTAGAGATAGAGCATTATAGCAGTGTAAGGAACTATAACTCTCCTCAAAAAGTAAAATTTTACACAATGTACTTCCAATTAATTAAAAGATTAACTTTTTAATCTAAACTAATATTTTTTTATAATTTATTGTTTAAAATTGAAGCAGTTAGTTGAAATATTAATGATAAAAAGTTAAATCATAAAAAAGGATAAATAGATAAATACTTGTAAACAAATAACAGTTGTATTAAAAAAATAGTTGAAGATTTTAATTTTTAATTTGATTGTTGATCATGTCAAACATTTAAAAGAATAAAGAACAATACTTTAAATAAATATTAATTTTAACTTATAAATTTGAGTTTAAATAATTAATAACAATAAGATTTTATTAACAATATTTATTACATTTTTATAATTGTAATATAATAAACATATTTTTAATAAAAATTATTGTATTTAAATATTTGAATTTAATCTTAAAAAATAATATTAACAGAACTTATTAATAAATAATTTTGGGCTCTCAATATAATTAGGAGGTAAGTTCCTCCACGTGCAACGATCCACCAAAGAAGTGTATTAACTTTTGTCATGTTTTTCTTAAAATAATTTAAAATTCTTTGGCAACATATTATATTAGTCCTTTTTCTTATCAGATAATATTATTAAATACATTTTATGATTTTAAAATAATATTTAATATTAAAAAATATTGCATAAGGGTGCATTGCTTTTATTCCTATGCAGAAATTCGTATTTTGGTTCTTGCATCACTCCTTCGCTGTATCCCACCTCCACTTTCACCTATATTCCATTCATTACAACTTACAAGTCAACTGTCAAGGGTGAAATTGTAATTTCACAGTGACATCTGCTTCTATATTCTTTTTTAATTTTTTTATCCGCTAATTTTCAGATAAAATTATATTTCAAAATTTACAATTAATTTTAAATACCAAAAAATAATATATATATATATATATATATATATATTTATATATATTAAAATTATAATAAATATTTTAATGAAATTTTACTATTACTAATTATTTCTAAAATCTAAGTTAATATATGTTAGAATAGTTATTATGAACAAATAAAATTTTATTTTTAAATATTTAATGTAGTTATATATTTAAATTTAAATTCTATCATGATTAAGTTAAAGGATAAAAAAGTAACGTCGATTCCTAAACAGAATTGAAGTAATTAATAGTAAATTTTTAATAAATATTTATTTCTTTTTATATAATAAATATTTTTTTATCAAAATATATTAATTTTTAATATTTAAATTTAAAATTTAACAATTGAAATTAATTAAATTTAATATATACATATATATATATATATATATATATAAAGCACTTGTTAACTTTATTTTATTCATTTAATTCAAATATAAAATTAAAAAAGTGGTGTTAATTGATGTTTATAGAATATTAATTAAAAATTAATAAAGAATTTTATTATTAAAATTATAATAAAATTATACATTAATAAATTTTTATTTATTTTCTTTACTTAGTACTTTTAAGCTATGAGTTAATATTTGTTTATAATAAGAATTTCGATTTTTAAATCTTCCCTTGAGTGATTAGCAATTAATTGAGCAGTTTTCCTGGTTATGTTATTATTATAATGGTAGCAGTAGTTTCTTTCTTGGTGGTATTTAATAAATGCATTGAGTGGGCGTGTTTCACAGTCAGAGGTTATGTCACAGACACGGAAAAGGAAAGAGAAAACACAGAGAGAAAGAAAGAAACGTTGCTTCTAAGAACATGATGGTGAGTTTCTTCTTCTTTTCTGATCTTCCTTCCTTTTCTTGAGGTAAATCTCTACTCTTTTGCAACTGAAGTTCCTCCTTTTTAATTGTGCTCTTTCTTGTTTGCTCTGGTTTTTGCCTTTTCCATCTATTTTTCAACTGTGATTGGGGTGTTGGAAACTTTAAGACCCGTTATTCTTCTGAGTCTAATTAATAGTTTCTAAAGTCTGCAGTTTTGGGCTCTTGTTGCTGCTTCTGAAAGTTTCTATCTTTGTAATTTGTTTTTATGTGGAACTTTCATTTGGTGAGTTCTTTTTTTGTTTTTTTTTCTTTTTCTCTGTGGATTGCGATTATTGATTTGTGATGACTTATCAGTTTTGGGTATATGAATATATAAAATAAAATGAAAATAAAAAATTGTTTTCTGGCTTTAGGAGTTGTGTTCTCTTTTTCGGCTTGTTCTTATAATTCTTTTTCTTTTATTTTTCTCTTTGCTGTGTTTAGGGTGGGCAAGGAGCCTAATTTCTCTCCGAAATTCGGTATTTGAGGTTCATGTCGACTGTCGCCTTTAATGTCTTGTTTTCTGCTTGTCTGTGTTTGCTTCAATGGTTGTGAGAGACATTATTAGAGATGCATGACAGTTTCTTTATTTGTTTTAATATGAAATGGCTTATTAATTATTATTATTTAATTACTACCGATGCTTTAGTTTGCTCTTTTGACTTTTTTTAAAAATGTTTTTCAATCTTTGTGGGGGAAAGGTTGGTTGATTGATATAAGCATAAATTTTTTGTGAGATTCCAATTTGACTATTTGACTTTGGTTGCTCTTTCAAGAAGATAGATTTAGGGGGTTCAACTGTTGATGATAATGTTTAAAACTCTCTAAAGTATGTTTCTGACAAAATCTGAAGATTTTAAGCCACTTTAGCCTTTAGGTTCATGTGACAATTTCTTTTATGAGAATCTCTCTCTCTTTCTTTTCCTCCTCTGCTTTTCTTTATCCATGTTTACTTTAATTTCTTGATAACTAAGCATTGAACCATGGTTTAAATTAAAATTTTGTTGATTTGCAGCTTATCATGCTTCTAATAGTTGGGACCATCTTCTAACTAGAGTGGATTAGTGGAACACTTATTTGTTAAGTGGTGTTGATCACATATTAAACTCTTCGGCTGTTAGTGTGTAGCAAATGTCCTTCCGCAGTATTGTTCGTGAGGTAAGGGACGGATTTGGAAGCTTATCAAGGCGGGGTTTTGAGGTAAGGCTTCCTGGTCATCATAAGGGCAAGTCAAACAGTTCGGTCCACGAGTTGCACAAACACCCACCAGTTATACAGAACAGTCGATGGGCTAGCCTTCCACCTGAGCTTCTTCGTGATGTTATTAAAAGATTGGAAGAAAGTGAGAGTACGTGGCCTGCTCGTAAACATGTGATTGCATGTGCTGCTGTGTGCAAGTCCTGGAGAGAAATGTGCAAAGAAATTGTTACAAGTCCTGAGTTCAGTGGGAAGATTACTTTTCCTGTCTCACTGAAGCAGGTGAGACTTTCATTATCTTCTATCCTGTGGCCAAGATATATTTTAAAAGATCTGGTTGATGCATGAGAGATATAATCATATTTGCTTTTTGATTGACCCATTTTATAGCCCGGTTCAAGGGATGGAGCAATCCAGTGTTTCATCAAGAGAGACAAATCTAATCTGACTTACCACCTATTCCTTTGTCTTAGCCCTGGTAAGCTTATTCTTTTACTTCTGACACCCTTATATATATGAGTTTGTTGTCAATTTTGTGACTAGTTTGAAGTTTTTATATTATGCAATTTATTAGTTTGTAATTTTACATAATAGCATATGACCTTCATGTCATTTTGAAAAAATGGAGAGTCAATAATGTATCATCTTATGCTGGAAAACTTTATTGTCATTGAATATGTGTGAACCAATGAAATCATGTTTTATATGTGAGGTTGGCACATCATACAAACTTTGGTGACATCATTCCAAAGTACAGGATCATTGGATTATTTGGTTAATAATAAATGTCTGTGATTGTCAATCTACCAAGATTATGATTTTGTGCCACCACAAACTATATCTTGCAAAAAATATCCATATCATAATGGTGATTGTTTATTTTATTTCATCAAGACTAAGTTGTTGTTTGTGCAATTTAGCTGCCTACTCTTGTTTAAACTTTACAATCACCAAGTTCTTTTGCTATGGGATACTTATGTTTTATTGTCTTCATTTGTTAAAGTCAGCAAATATAAATTCTCGTTACCAAGCAAGCTATGGGATTGAGAGTTAATGTCACTCCTTACTTCCTGTTTAAAGCTGTTTTATCATCCTTTTCATTTACATTAAGACCATTGTGTTTGCATGCTGACTAGGTGCATACTGCTTGATTTAGAAATCAGGAATCATGCAACAAATTAGTTCATGGTCCTTTAAATCCTACTTTAATAAGAAATAAAATAGCTGTTTTCTAATTTCTAGTGTATTGCATTAATTGTTTGCTATGCTGACTACTTGAACCCCAAGCAGTTCCATGTTTTGAACTGACAAAATTCATTGCTGTTACTGTACTTCTATAGCCTATAAAGATTTATTGATAAATTTTATGAACCTGTCATTGTCTCTTGGGACACGTTTTGAATTCATAGTTGTTCCTGCAGCACTGCTTGTTGAAAATGGAAAGTTTCTTCTTTCTGCGAAGCGAACAAGAAGAACAACGTGCACAGAGTACATTATATCAATGGATGCAGATAACATATCAAGATCCAATAGCACTTACATTGGAAAACTAAGGTATCATTTTTTGGGGTTCTACTGTAATGCTGCATTCATTTTCTGTGAACAACAATGATTCTTGATTAATTTCTGTTGTTATGATGTTGAAGAGAACTACATGATATAACATACTTTTCTAAAAATTTTATTCTTGTGGAATATAATATGTACCTTGTTCTTGAAGATGGTTAAATTTAGTTGCAATACTTTCCATAGATCTTTCAATCATCTAGCTTGACAGTCCATTGATGCCTTTGCGTGTCCTTTTTCCCCCCATATTACATGACTATGAAATGACTGCTAGGTATATTTTGGTATTGATTTTAATTTATCCAATTATGACATTTTTGTGTCTCCTCTAAGATCCCAAAGCTTAGAAGTTGGTATGATGTGTCCTAAAGTGTATGTGTTCATAGTTTTTAATGCTACCGTCATCCCACATTAATGTACAAGAATTCACTCTTTTCCTGTATTTTTCTGGCGTCATTAAGTTATACCGTCGATTTCCCCTCATTTCAGGTCAAATTTTCTTGGCACCAAGTTTATAATTTATGATACACAGCCTCCCTATAACAATTCTCAGCTGTCTTCTCCAGGCCGAAGCCGTAGGTTTTATTCAAAAAAGGTTTCTCCAAAGCTCCCTAGTGGCAGCTACAATATTGCACAGATCATGTATGAGTTGAATGTCCTTGGAACTAGGGGCCCACGCAGGATGAACTGCACCATGTACTCAATCCCTACATCATCCCTTGAACCTGGGGCCACTGTTCCAGGCCAGCCAGAGCTCCTTCCTCGCTCCCTCGAAGACTCCTTCCGGAGCATATCCTTCTCAAGATCAATCGACAACTTCACTGAGTTTAGCAGCTCTAGATTCTCAGACATTGTTGTGGCCGGAAATGAAGAGAATGAGGGAAAGGAAAGACCTCTAATTCTTAAGAACAAAGCACCAAGATGGCATGAGCAGCTTCAATGTTGGTGCCTCAACTTCAGGGGAAGGGTGACTGTTGCCTCTGTCAAGAATTTTCAGCTCATTGCTGCTCCGCAGCCTCCAGCCGGCGCCCCTACTCCATCATCTCAGCCAACACAATCTGATCATGACAAGATTATTCTTCAGTTTGGCAAGGTGGGCAAGGATATGTTTACTATGGACTATAGATATCCCCTATCTGCATTTCAGGCTTTTGCCATTTGCTTGACTAGCTTTGACACAAAACTGGCATGTGAATAGTGACAATGAGAGATATGGTACAAGTTATAGGATTCAATCTCCATTTATGTATGGATGGTGAGGCTTCATGGAGCATTGTACACCTCATAGTGTTAACTGTAAAGTACAGAACAACCTGTGCTCAATGTTATTTTTCTTTTCTTTTCTTTTCTTCTTATCCTTTCATGTTAGTCTGCCATGAACTTTGTCAAATGTGTTGCTTCACCCAATGTTACCCTATGGGTTCTCCCAATGTTAGGCTCTCCTCAACCAAAAACAAAAAAACTTTGGTATGCTTAGTACATCATTATTTTAACTCATGAATATCATTTTTGTTGTTAAGAGTATGAGTCAAGCAATTCATGAACTATTCAAGCTTGGCATTAAATGCTTAAGTTATTTATTTAGTTTATTGATCAAACACAAACATAAAATTATATTTGATTATTTAAATGATATAAATCTAAGTTTGTGAACTTGAAATTAATAGTCCACGCGTGTATATGTATATTTGGATAACTGTAACTTTATTTGTTATATTTATTTTTTAAAAAATTGGTTGTTATCATATATATATATATTCATTTAAAAAATAATATACTATTTTTGTGATAAAAAAATTATTTTTAATCTTAAGGTATTCTCATATAAATATATTATATTATGTTTTTATTATTTTACTTTATTAAATACTAAAAATACATATTTATTAACATAAAGATGCTTATTAAATATTAAATTATAAAGACAAATTATTTAAAGCTTGTAAAAAAAATCATAAACAAACTAATGAGTTAAATTTAAATTTAATTCATTTAAATAAATAAATTAAGTTTGATTGCATTTCTTTTTCATCTAAAATTAAACTTGAATTTAAGTTACTTGAATTACTTTGTTTACATATTTAATTAAGATATTTTTATTGTACTTTATAAATAAGGTCTTTTCTTATATTTTATTTCACTTTTTTTCATTGTATCTTTTACTTTTTTTTCTACCTTCTTCTTACTACTATTACAATAAATTGTTAAGTATAGGAATGATAAAACTAACATGATTAATATGATTATAGTGACAACTCCACTATCAACCTTAACAAGAAAGAGATTAACATTACTATAGTAAATAAATACTTTTTTATTTGTAACTTCAAAGAATTGCATAATTCTAAAAATTCATATAGTTAATATATTTGTTGTCTTACATATGAGACCCTTTTATTGAATCGACCACAATTAGTTATCCATTCATAAATTTGAGACTTGAATCTAGTGATACAACTGAAATAATTTAAGATAAGAACTTTTGCACGTGAATGTCATTATAACAACGGTTGAAAGAAAGAAAAACACATTATGAAAGCAGGCGGATCAAAGGATGAAAAAGACTTTATTGCTTGAAAATATTAAAAATCAAGAAAAAAATAAATTATTTTTAAAAATTTTAAAATAATATTATTTCATGTAAAAAAAATTGTTACATGTCATTTAACGTGATAAATCAACTCTATTATTCAATTTTAATGTGTCTTAATAATAAAGACTAATATGATTGACAAGTGTTAATTTTAAAGACTAAAATTTTAAATTTAAAGAATTAATATGAAAGCTATGTATTCCAGAGAATAAAGTGAAAATTTGCTAGTAAATTAAAACAACTTTAAAATGTAAGAGAGATATGTTACGAAGTAAATTTTTCACATTAACCTAATTCATTACTTAACCAGCAAAATTTCGCGAGTAATTTAAATTTATCATAGGATTACAGCAAGAGAATCTTGGATTTTATCTAACTGTGACGTCTCCAAATAACAGTTTGGAAAGTACCAACGAAATCAGTTGTTAATACACTTTTTTCTTTCCAATGTTAAGTTATAAATAAACTACACAAAAGAATATTCCCTGTACTTAATGACAATTTTTACCAAAACTTATGTCGTTTGTAAAACTGTCTTCGGTAAGAGGCACCTGATAAATTTTTTTAACAGTGAGCAAATAGGTATTATCGCAGCCAAAGGAGAAGGGAACTTCTCAGTTCTGTTTTGTCTATATTCTAGAATGAGAATCATTTCAATTATTATTATTATTATTATTATCTTGGTCGTCTCAATTAAATATCTAGGGATATTTAAAAGAATTTATTTATTTTTATGAAAGTGCTTTATAATTTTTCAGTCAAAACTTTAAAAAAAATTTCATAACAGCTTATACATATTCGCATGACCACTTCACCTTTGGATAATATTCCCATCTTTTCAATTTTGTCAGTGCTCAATTAACGACTCTTCCAAAGCCTAGAGGATAAAAAAAGTGCGTTCCATGTGCCCCATTGCTTAGGGTTGAAAGAGCTCACTACATTGAAAACATTGAAGAGTCTATTTTATCCTCTAGTATTTATGAAACCTTTGACAAATGAAAACTGTGTCTTCAGAATTAATATTTTATTTTAAAAATATATACATTATATTAAAATTATAAAAATGTAATAAATATTTTTAAAAATTATTATTATTCATTACATAAACTCAGCTTTAAATATTGAATTAATATTTTTAATTTAAAATAAATTTTTAATTAAAAATCTAATAAGATAATGTTACCACAATTTTAAATATATCTTACTATAACTTTTAATAAAAATAATTCAAATACTTCTTTAATTAATATTTTTAAGATATTAATCACCAAAACACATCTTTTATTTTTTTAGAGACTTTGTTAGAAGGTTAACAGAGAGATAAGAAAAGATTGTTACAAGAGTAAGAGAAGAGGAGAGAGATTGGGAAGATAATATAAAATCCTCCAATTCAAGGAAACTTAAAAATATAGGATTTGAATGAGTTTAGAAGTTTTATATATTATTCTCTTTTCATTTGAAAACTTTTAAACAAAAATAATCAACATGGAAATCTTTCTTTACTCTTTTTTTTCTCCTAAAAATTAACTTACAAATAAATTTAAAGTATATTTAAGAGGCAAATTTTAGAAGAAAAAGGAATAAAAAATATTTTTTATTTTAAATTAAAAATTTATATATTATTTAAATAGAAAATATTAATTTAAAATGCAAAATATTTCTACAATCCTTAGTTGTGATACGCCCTTTTTAAAGATTTCACTCAATTTGCTCCTCAAATCTATCGAAAAAGCATCACTAGGCAACAGAGAAGTGTATCAGTCATAGAATGCGGAAAGTTCCTGTTACTTTCATCCAAGTAAGCCTATAACTCCACGCCGGTGCTGAAATTCTTTGATATAATTGGATCTAGAAACAAAGCATGCCAACAAAAAAACAATAACCATGATGGATAGCACAATCATCTGTTAAATAGATTTGAATCTGAATGCAAGCCTTTATTTATAAAAAATTATAAGAATCAGTGTAAGTGTGAGTGCTTTATTATTGATGCCACCTTATATATTTACACCTAATTTAATATATTAAATTAGAAATTGATATTATACTTATAGTCCTTTAAAACACAAATATAATGACTTACGATATGTTTTAAAATTAAATTCTGAAAAAAAATATTTCTAAATTATAAATTGTTTACCGTATTTATAAAAAAATAAATAAAAGATTGTGATCTTGAGTTTATATGAATATATTATTTTATGTTATAATTTTTTAACTTTCAAAGTATTTATTAAATTTTATTCTATTGTTAACATTTACAAGCTTGTAAAACAAAGTTTCACTCATTTAAGTGAGGCAAACTTAAAGTTTGAGTTTGGTTTGATTGAAATTTTAAAAATTTGAACTTAATTCATTAGCTTACTTATCACTTGTTTATTTTTCTTCTCTAACAAACATAGAATAATTTTTTTATTAATTTATTATTTAATAATTTAAAAAATAAAATAAAATAAAATAGTAATAAAATAATATAATTTTATCTACATACACAAGTTATTAATACTAAACTTATAAATTTAAGGTTAACTCATTCAAATAACCAATCTTAACTCTATTTAAACTTGTTCTTTTTTAACAAATAAATATTTAATGAGTCGAATTCAACTCATAAATAGCTTAATTTATTTATATTCCTTCTAATAACACATTTTTTAATATAAATTTTCATTTCATTATATTTTCTTTCACGAATACAAACATAATATTAATCTTCTTATCTAAAAATTAGAAACACGTAAAATTTACCTCTAAGAAAAAGTGATTTACTATGATTTCTATTCTGTGTTTGAAAATAGGTTAAAAAATTTGTAAAAGTAATTCAACATAAAATATTTAATTAGTGAGATTGAATCGTACCTCAATAAAGAGTCATTGAAACATGAATTCCATGCACTTAATTACCAGTGTTTCTTATCATTTCATTGATTTTAATCAAAGAAAAAGTTATATAAATATTATTATTTTATTGATAACTTAGATTTAATATATTAATGAAAATTCATATATAATTTACATATTTTTTACATTTTTAATAAATGAATAAAAATAATTTATGTTCCTATGAAAAAAAAGCAAATTCAATTGTTTTGAAACTATGTTATGCATAAGCATAGTTTAGGATAGTAATAAATTAGATATTTTAACGTAAGTTGGAGTTAGGTTAATGTTTGAGAAAGGAAAATTTTTAGAAGTCATAAAGCATTGTCTTAAAACAGAGTTAGGTAGATAAACTAACTCTCTTTTTTTCTTGAAAAAAAAGAAGTTTGATCCTCCTCTTGAAAAACAATTTTAAATAAATTAAAAACATTTTTAACTAAAATTAATGTGATTTTAAAACATCTGAATTGGCTTTTGTCAAAAAAGTGAAAGAACAGTAAAAAAATTAGTTTTCAATATGTTCTTTTAAGAATGGATAGAAGAATTTTTTTTTCCAAAAAATAACATTTTGAGAATTTTTTTTAATAAGATTTATAATCCCAAGACTGAAGTGTCAAAATAGTAAAAAAAAAAAAAAAGGTGTTTCAACGTAATTTCTTAAAAATTTATTAAAAAGGTAATTTACTTTAAAAGTTAAAGCATTTCAATTATAAGGTTACACAACAAAAAAGATACTGAAGATGAAAAATGTATCAAAAAAATGGCAAAAGTTTTTTACAACAGTTACCATTGATTACCACTAGTTGAAGATAAAGATACATAAAGAAGATCATGGGCAATAAAATAATAGCAGTAGAATGTATAAAAAAAAGTTACTAGGAAACTCACATGAAAAAAAAAAATAGTTAAAAAAATATTTATAAATAGGGTTTCATTTTATGTTTGAGAGGTGATGACATTTACACAAATACTACAACTCAAAAATCTATGTATGTCAAAGTTCTACACTAGTTAGACTTTAAGAGATTAATAGATGTCTATGTTGATTGTGATTAAAAGTTATAGAATCATACTATTATGCAATTTTTCTACTTTTTCTGTTATTGTTTATACTTTTGTTACAATGTTTATACATTAAGAACATATTTAAAATAATTCATAAAAAAATATCTAAAATTTAA